TTATTTTGCGTTGTTTAATGTTACAGAGAGAGCATTTAAAAAGTGTTTAACCTGTTTACCTTTGCACAATTATACATCTTCAAAAGAAAATACAGGATAAATCCACATATAACGAGCATATTTAGACTATATTTGGTTAAATTGGCACATATTTACCCTCTGTCTTAGTCACTGGTAAGTTTAAATGCAAACCTTTTCAAAGTGGAAAAAAGTCCTAATTCCACATTCATCAGAGCCAGTTACGCTTCAAACATTGATAAACAACATCTAGTGTGTGTAGTGATTATAAAGTAGTATAAATGTAGCAAGAAATGTATATTTTTGCATAGGTCAAATGACATTAATGAAACTTAGGACCAATAGTGTCCCTAGCAAAGTGGAAATAAAACCTTGGAAAGGTGTCACACTCAACAGGTTTAAAAAGATTATAGTAAAGCAGTAGGATGTAATAACACACCAATTAATTGTTCTCACGGTGCTGCTGAAATAGTTTTAAATTAAAATAGTGTAAAGTGACTTCACACCATGACCCTAAAGCAGCGGTCACTAACCCCCAGTTTCCACATCCTCCATCAGCGCCCCGCTCACGTACGTCATGCGGATCACTTGTCTTTCATGTTAACCAATGAGAGCTGTTCCACATCCTCCGCCACTCCTCTGCACGTCTCCTTCCATGTACGTCTTCTCTGTCCTTCACCGTCAAAATACTGAGCAGAGCTATTTTTTGCTCTGCTCTAGGTCATGATCTGCAATTGCAATCACACCAAACAAAATTAAAATATAGTAATATCAGATCAGGAATTACAAATTAGAGCACAATTCTTATATATTCCCCAAAACAAAGAGCAATTAATTAAATGATTGGATGCAAACTACTGGTTCTTCAACAAACCAGGAAGCAGATTTCTCATCTCCATCTAAATATCTATTTTACATCCAGGGGCTTAAAAGTTTAATCAAATCCAGTCGAAACTTGTAAAAGTGCCACACAAATTCAAAACAAAGTTCTTATTGCAGGAATGGATGAAGAGATGCTGCGTTTGGAGGCAGAGAACAAACATAGTTCATACAAACCACGGATGATCCTAGTTATCCCTGTTACAAAAATCCACAACAAAAAGAAAATATTTCGGTGGAAACTGAACATATGCTGGATGCTGATGGGCTTTTTTTAATGCGTCATATTAGATTAAGCTTTCACAGGGTTTATACAGGAATGACTAACTAATTTAATGCTGTTAGAAATACCTTTAATGCCATCAACAACTACCATGTACACAAGTTATTAGTGTACAGGAAATAAGGAGCTGTAAGCACAGTTCCATGACTCTTGTATATATATATACAATTAAAACTTATATATATATAATATAATATAATATAATATAATATAATATATATATATATATATATATATATACAATTAAAACTTATATATATATAATATAATATAATATAATATAATATATATATATATATATATATATATATATATATATATATATATATATATATATATATATATATATATATATATATATATAATATCAATTAAAACTTATATATATATATAAGTTTTAATTGAATGAGGTATTTCTGAATTTGAATTTAAAGGAAGAAGAAGATAAAGGAAGTTTGAGGAAAAATATTAATGATTGATATTAATGATCTTCCTGACCAACAGGATACATGAAATAAACATTGGTGATATTAGTTGTTTATCAACCAATCAGCATCTGACAACCTTTTTCTGCTGATGTCATTCAGGTATTATGGGCTATAAAAATTATATTGAGAAAAAGAAACACAAAGGATACCAGCATGTCCATAAATATGTTGAAAAAAAATGAAATCATACATGTGCCGCTATTCTTTATTTAGTGAGATTTGGTTATTAATTACATCTAATAGGTGGCAATGTTCCCAGATTTAATCCCAGAAATCTGGTCTCCTTACTCTAACATGGATGTTCAGGGGTTGAAGAGAACATTTTTCTGGAACGTTCTCAGATGAGTCTTGAAGCAAACCAGTAGGCCCCCTGGGCACGCCTGATTACCAGTTTAGTGGTGATGACTGTAGATACCTGAAACTGGAATTACAGTTAGAATTACCTTTAAGTTTTTCAGGTGGGTGTGTTTCACAAAGCAGGTTTACTGAAAACTCTTAAGTTTTCTAAACCTAAAATCAGGGTAACCATTTCTCACAGAGAGTCTCATTAACCTCTTTTTTCTGTTGCCATAGTAACATTGTCCTCAGAGCTAAGCTGGTCAGCAGCAGGTTTTGTTCATTGAACTCAGGGTGTCCTTTGTCTTCGTTCTCCTTACACGTTGCTTTATTTCCTGATGTAGTCAGGAGATTTTTGTCGTGGTTTTGTGCAAACAAAAACAAAAAAATCATTCACTAGGACCGTTACATACATTAGGTTTTAAAACAAACATTGCATGTCCGTTTGACGAGGACCTAATTAAAGTTGTAGGGAAGTCATATTTAAGTGTCAAATCATTCTGGCTTAAACATATATAAATGTGCTCTTTATCAGACATTGATATTGTTCCCAAATTTTTTTTAAATTTCTATTTAAAAAAAATCTTGTCTTAAAATCTGTGGGTTTTTTTTCCTTATCTTATGCAGGCCAGCTAGTTATACGTCAGCCTGAACACCTAAATTCAGCCAATCATTTATCAACGGTCATCTGTCCATCAAATGTTTTCTGTCATAGCATCTTGATTAATATGTCGCAGCTAATATACGCAACGGTTGAAATAAGAAATCAGAATGATTTCCTTTCCCATTGAGTTGCATCCCAGTGTTCACTGGGATGGACGTCTGTGTCTTCAGCAGGCGTAGAGCTAACAGAACTGGCAGCGTTGCGAGGCAAGGGCTCAAACATGTACGGCTGGAAGCCTTCTACACCAAACCAAGCTTCTGCCACCCTGGCGTCCTCTTCCACAACATCTTCGTCCCCGCTTTCCTCCTCTAAATAAAAAATGGATGACGGAGGAGACTCATCCACGACCTCCGACACTAAACTCTCCTCCTCTTGCATGTTTCCTCTGTCCATAGCGTTCCTTGACAGTGTTGTTTCTAAGTCACCAATTTAGTGCTACTTGGTCCCAATGGAATTTCCCATTGGGAACCTGCTAGCACTAAGTTGCTAACTGGTTAGCAAGATGCTTCCGACGAACCAGCCACAACCAAACTTGCTTGTGAACCTTCCGCCATAACAATCCTGCCCTCTTGATAATCGACCAATCACATTCACTTTATTCACTCGTGTAAAGTCGGGCACCACTCGGGAGAATTCGGAAATGCCACAATTGGAACAGCCGATTCCGTACAACTTTAAAGAATGATTGGCACTTTTTCGCAGAATTGAATATTTATAGGGTGAGAATTCTACAACTGCGCTGCCCTTTACTGTATGTGGGGTAAGCAGGAGCACAGAGCGAAGGCAAATCAGGGAGAGGAATTTATTTATTTGTTTATTTTTTTGTCCCAGCTTTTTATTGTCATTACACTGTTGCAAGTACAGACAGCGAAATGAAATCTCTGCATTTAACCCATCCCCTTGGGGAGCAGTGGGCTGCCATTGTGTGGCGCCCAGGAAACAGTGTGGGGTTAAGGGTCCTGCTCAGGGATCCAGAGTGGCAGTCTGTGGGAGTTGGGCTTGAACTGAGAACCTCAGGATTCCAAGCTCTATGCCCAGACCACAAGGCCACCACTCCCAAAACAAAACACTCATATCCAAGTCATTTACTTCTGTTTGGATCATGTGGGCTCTAACTGCTGCTCAGTTATTGACTCGGACTAAAGTTAGATAAGAAAAGACTATGCTGTGCAACAATGTAAGCAGTAACATTAAAGCTATGCCTATTTTAGGTATGTTTTTTATTAACACCAGCCTTTCTCCGCTTCTTAACATTTCAAAATGATTATTTCCCATCTGGAAATCAACAGCAAACCAGTGGACAGCCTTCTTCTAGTGTTTTTAAGAGCGATAAGAGGTTTGTTCTAAAGCTGTCTTCCTTTTTATCCTGAAAGCTGGAACTTTAAACTAAAAGCAAATTAACCAAATATTAAGTTTTTCCTGTGCATTTTAACCTTATAAAAACATAAACAATGTTTCAGTTAGTCAAAGATACTTTGAATTCTCTGCTGGGTTAGTGAGATCATTCTGACTATGTGGGTCAGGCAAACTTCAGCGGAGCTGTTGCCATGGTTCTGTAGTAAACAGCTCCAAAGTATCATTACAAAGGATGTTTCCCTGGTTACTGCTACAGCAGCAGTTCATGCTTTTGATCTCCTGGACCCGCCTTCCTCTGACAAACATAATCTTGTCCCACTAACCTGTCAATGGCCCAAAATAGGTTCAGGCTGCTTATATTTAGGGTTATATAATACTGGAAATTTCCTTTCACTGATTTAACACCATGTGGGCCCAACTTCGTGTATATCTTAACTAAATCTAAAGCTTTAAATCATGTCTGCTTTTTGTTCTAATAGAATGAATGTTGAACATGAAAATCAGGCAATAGAAACATCTAGATCAGGGAGATTATCTTCGCTAAAAGCTGATCATGCTCTGATTGGGGTCTGACCTCTTTAAAGCTGCTGTGGGTTCCAGTCTGACCTCTGACCCCTCTGCTCTGTGCTGGTTCCTCTCCTGCAGATCCGATCAACATCACAGCAGAACCAGGACAGAACGTCACTCTGCCCTGTAGAGGTTCTGACCACAGAACCATCATAGTGGTGGAGTGGAGCAGAACTGATCTGGGCTCAGAATATGTCCTTCGCTACAGAGACCAGCAGTTGGACCCAGACTACCAGAATCCATCTTTCAGGAACCGAGTGGACCTGCTGGACCCACAGATGAAGGCTGGAGACGTGTCTGTGGTTCTGAAGAACCTGACGACTGATGACAGAGGAACATATGAGTGTCGGGTCGTTCAGAGAGGAACCAGACGCAGGAAAAGAGGTTCTTTAAAGACCCGACCCGTCAGCAGCGTGGTTCTGGATGTGGTTCCATCAGGTCAGTTTGTTCGGCTCAATTTAACCTAAAAATTATTTTCATCAAACATCAAAGTTTATAATAAGATTAAATCTGAGCTGTAACTGTTCAGAACTTCATTCATCATCTGCCTACAGCTCAAACTTACTGCTGGTTCTGTTCTGGTTCTGTTCTGCAGGAAGTGAAGATGGAAGCAGAGAGGATGGATCTGTTGGACTGCTGGTCGGTCTGCTGTAGGTTTAATGATCTATAAGAGACCAGGATGTTTGCAGCAGCTTTATGGACCTCCTGCTCATCAATCAGCTGTGGAGCTGCACTGACCTTCAGAACCCGGTTCTGGTTCTAAGAGACACAGAACATCTCAAGCCAGAAGACAATGAAATTAGTCTTTCATGTTAGAGGGAAACATGTGGCAATGACTGAAAGTAGAAATTATTTACAGCAACAGATTTATTCCAGATTAGAATTAAGATTCTGAAGTGTTGCAGTAGATTAATGAAGGAAAGTTTGTTTTCTGTCTTTAACTCATCCCTTAGGGAGCAGTGTGCTGCCCCCTGCTGCCACTCTGAGGAACACACAGGGAGAGAGCCTTCTGGGTATAATTCATGGACCCGAGTTTCAAACCGGCAACCTTTGTAGGCTCTCCAACCACTAGGCCCCTGCTCCCATTAAACAAACCTAAAACATGTAGAAGTTCTGGTTGTTTAACCAGGATGGTTGTGCTGCTGGCAGGCCTGGATCTGTACTGGACCTGTGGTTCCTCCTGCTGATGGACTTTCTGTGTCACGTATTTGTCTGGTTTAACACCTGAACTTTCAAAACGTGTCCTTAAGTGTCTTTACAGTAATGAGGTCTATGTGAGCCTTTTTTGTCTTTCTGCTCCTGCTGTTTAAAAGGTCTGCGTATGGAACTGCTGACGTACATCCAGATGATGAAGCCTTTATAGCAGGCGGTACCGCTCATATTATGGCCTCTATGTTAGGCTTCAGCAACATAGATTTATTTAGAATTAGAAATGAATAAAGTTCTGTAGCAGCAAGGTATCAGCCCTCAATCTTTGATTTAGTCCATCACCTTCACAGTGTCCCATTTGCTCTGCCTGCTTTACATTTAATGGCCACTAGATGGCAGAGAGGAGCCAGAAGAGAACCATAGTCTGTTGGAACATCTCAGGTCCAAATGTTCCTCTGTCCCTAATGCTCCCATTTTTTCTGGCTGACTCTGAAGCTTCACTAGCAGAAAGCCTGACTTCTCCATAAAGTTTTATCTGGAGAAAATCGAAGGATCCTAATGGATGTTAGATGAACCTCAGGTTTAGTAAAAAAAAAAAAAACATTCAACATGAAGATAAATCAACCTATCTGAGTGTATGTGCAGCACTTTGTATTTATTTTGTAGTTTGTGATATTACTGATGTTTATTGATTGTTGATGTTTATTTTTTCTAGTGTGTGTGACTGTTTCCTTTTATTTTTTACTCACCTTAAAGCAGTTTAATATAAGTATTTAGTGCCCTTATATTACAACTGATCTGTATTGACTAAAAAAGTGTTTTATAGGTTAGATTTTATAATCTGTCAACATCAGTTTTTGCAAAGTCATGTGTTTTGACATGACCTCTGCTCTAAAAGCGGCTCCCTTATTTCAGCATGAACTGCATGGAGCTTAATGCTAAACCTACGATGTTCCTGACAGGATCCATGAACTATGAGCTTAATAATGGGATTGATTTCCCATTAATGCTGTGAACAGCTGTCATGTATAAGGTCATCACAGTGCTAATTAGAACAGGAAAGAATAACAGTTTTGATACTGAGGGGATAAAAATGTACCAATAGTTGAAGGTATAAAAAATATTTATTCATATTAAAAACTCACTGTTTTACATCTCAAACAAGCTTCCTCGACACAATCCCAGACACCAGGTGACTAAATGTGTCAATGAATGAAAAATAAATAACCCAAATGTAAAACAATTTCTCTTGTTTTGATAACTATACAAAGCACTGAAGTTTATTTGATATAATCAGCAAACAGGTTGCCATAACTTAATTTTAAAGTCTTTGAATGAAACCATAGCGAGCTGCTGCTGTAGGAAATCATAAACTATGTGAATGACCTATTTAAACAAACCTGAAGAGGATTCAAAGAGGAACTGAAAATGTTTGGTCACCCACATACCATTTCATGTGTTCCTCTGAAACTAATAAAGTCTGAAACTAATAAATAACCTCCAGGAACCAATCAAACGAGTTGATGTTTGTTTGTTTGCATTAATCTTAAGTACATTTCATGTCTGCTGCTTGTCTTTAATCCTGTTTGTGGGTCCATGGACACAATTAACCATGTTAGACTCATATGTGTGTTTAAAAGTAAAAAAAAAATGAACCAACAAGTCATCATACACAAAGAAAAAAAAAAGCAAGGTTCACACTTTTTTTCACCCTGCAGCCTGCTGCTGCTTCCTCTGTGGGTTTTTTCTCTCTTTGCAGTTCTGAAGTGAGGTTTGTTTTAACCACAACCTGAACAAACAGAGCTGGAAGTATTGTGAAAGCCTCACAATGCATCAAGTCAGGTGAAGGTGACAGACTGCAGAGAAGCATCATTGCTGCTGTGACTTTATAAGCAACCCATGAGAATAACTCCACCTATTAATTATTAGTCTATCAGTAAAGACATCGATGGCAGCCGGTGTTATTGCTTAGATTTTCTCAGGGAGGAGTAGATGGTGTCTGGCTCTGGTTGAGGCTCTGAAACACAGTTAAAGGATAAAATGAAATATGCTTTATTCTAATAAAGCACATAGCAAGACGTTAAAGCCTCTTCTTTGTTCCTTACCTCTGTTCCTGTTTTCTCTGAAGCCTATCTGTCCATAACTGATGTCTTCTGTTCTCACGTCTGAATAAATGACAGCTGGATCCTCCTCTGAAAAACCACAAGCATCATGTTGACACAGCATGAGCAGCAAAGGAACCTGTGGTGAATGACTTTATTCTCATTGTTTATGGGAAGATTCAAGTGAAGACAGTTTTTTTTTTCTTTCTAACACCTCTAGAGTGAGAAATGTGACACCTAGTTTAGTAAAACTGTAATAAAAACACCTGTGGTAAAAGTAAACATCCTGTTGGTAGATCATGCTGAAGGTATGCCAGGCTCAGCCCATACCATGAGTGGTATGGAGCTGCTAGTTCCTTTTCCTAACAGTCTAAATATTAAGATTGTCTTTCCAAAAACAAAGTTTGAAAGCAGAGAACCCAAAGGACTGTTGGTGGATCATTCTGTCTTCTAGTTAATGCAGGATTCCAACAGTCTGATAAAAACGTCTTAGCTTGTTTAGTTATAAGGCATCTCACCTGTGGAACCAGCTCAAAGTTTTAATCTGAAAGTTAAAAACTCTGTCTGCTTTTAAAACATTGCTTTTTGATTAATCTTATAGTTAGAGTGGCTCACGATATCCTGAGCCATCTCCATAGTTATGCTGCTATAGGGTTAGGCTGCAGGAGGACAAAAGGTAAACTTTATCTCTGCTGTCTGCACTCTCTTTATCCCTATGCAATTCCAGGATCTGGCTTCTCTCTCTTTAGAAACAAAGTGAAACCAGGACTAAACCCTGTCTGGATTGGAGTTTGCATGTTCTCTCTATGCATGCATCTGCATGCTCCAGGTAATCTGATTCCATCCTGCAATCCAGTAACACACAATGCCGCTTGTGTCTGTCTTTTCAAGCTCAGATGAATTTTGATTCTATTTCAGAGATTCCGCTTTGAATTTTCCCCAAAGCAGATGTGTGTTTTACTTTACCACCATGTCTCTCTTCCTTTCTGACTCATAACATTCAAGTTAAATGGCGGCATAGGTCCAACCAAAAGAAAACAGTGCTCTACCTAGATGGAACTGCAGAAGCACAAATGCATAAAATCATGAATATCCGAGCTGGCACCATGCATTTCAATATGTAATTGCTATGATTTCACTTAATCTTAATTTTCTGTCTGATCGGATGTTAAATTGTGTCTGGTTTTTTCCAGGCTTAAGTGTCCAGTGACACGAAAAAGAAAAAATAATAATTTCATGAATTGGTAGCAATTTCATCTGTTCAACATCAGGTTAACATTTCCCCCAAAACAAAGTAAAACATCTGCTTTGGGGGAAATACAAAGTAAAATCTCTAGATAGCAAAGTTAACCAGAAAGGTTTGTCTTTGAATGGGTTTGATCATAAACACATGTTACATATATGACAAGTGGGGCAGAGCTGGACATACACACTTAATAAAACGTTTCAATAAAAGTGTGTTTACTCATGGTAGAAGCTCAGGAGCACAAAAAACAGATGAAGTTAAGCAGCATCTCTAACGATCTTGTTAGAGCCGCAAGTGCTGCTTTAGGTTTACTGTCCAGCTCGTTTGTGCTGTGGGAATTTCTGGTTCATACTGTCCTGTAAATACTCAATCTCACACAGTGAGCAGTTGTTCACCCTCTACCCATCAGTTTGACAGAAAAAGAAAAACAGATTGGCATTTGCTGACTCTGACACAAGCAGTGCTTTTTGAAATTCGGATCAGCTGGACTCAGTGAATTACCAGAATTCTTCATCATTTAACGGACCAGTGACCTGTATAGGATGTACCTCAAATCTCACCCGTCCAAGAAGATAGTGTTACATCAACTGTAGCCTTATGAGAATAAGTGGGTATACATAACACATAACTTCCTGATCTTCCTGCCTTTATGGGGTTCATGGGTGAGGCCTCATGAAGTTAATCTTATTTCTGGAGCCACATTCAGTAATTAGGATGTGGGTCGGACAGAAGGCTTGAAGATAGAACCAATAGGTTGGTTTTCCAGTACCCAGTGTCCCCCCACAAGTGTTGCTGCCCCAATGCTCAGTTGCTTTTAACCACAGAGCGGAGAACACAACATTTGGTGATGTTTTGTACCTCATTTCACCAATGATGCATATAAAATATATAACAAATTAGGTAGATGGAGCTACATAAAAGGAAATTTTACTTTTAGCAGGGAAGATGGACCTTTATCCAAATGATTATCCCATGTTGACTGACTAGATAGTTAATTTACTCAACAGCTAGTGTTTAGTTTAATTAGTGAGACAATAGAAATATAGAGAATTAGAATAGAATTCAACTTTATTATCATTACACTGTCATGAGTACAAAGCAACAAAATGAACTCTCTGCATTTAAACCATCCTCTTGGGGAGCAGTGGGCTGCCACTGTGTGGCACCCAGGGAGCAGTGTGGGGTTAAAGGAATAGTACACCCAAAACATGATTAGCCTTCATTTTCTACTCACCCCCATGCTGAACAACACTGGAGTACTTTTTTGATATCTCAAATGCATCTGGAGATCTGGGAGGCTTCTTGCTGTCTGCTTACATTCAAATAATGGAGGTCTATGGCGCCCGAGGCAGAAAGGTCCATAAAAGTCCACAAAAACGTGTCAATATTCCTCCATACTGCTCGTCCAATGTATTCCAAGTGTCCTGAGTGGGTAGCGTTCATAATTTACTCGAAACGAAGTCATTTAGAATGTTTTTAGAGCATAAACAGTAGTGTATAGGATTTCCTAAAAGCGCGCATCTGAGTTCACGAGTCTACGGAAACCGCGGCAGACCAAACCAGATGCATTTGAGATATCAAAAAAGTACTCCAGAGTGTTGTTCAGCATGGGGGTGAGTAGAAAATGAAGGCTAATCATGTTTTGGGTGTACTATTCCTTTTAGGGTCTTTGCTCAGTGACCCAGAGTGGCAGTCTGTGGGAGTGGGGCTTGAACTTAGAACCTCTGGATTCCAAACGCAATGCCTTAACCACTAGGCCACCATCCCACCCAGAAAAGCACATCTCTGGGGTAAGATTCCTTGCAGGAAGTCATGTAATCTGGTTCGGTGACTGAAGAGCAAAAGTTACCAACAAGGTTTCCAGATTACTGTAGTTTAAAACTAATATCTGAATTTAGTAATAAAGGGACTGCAGCTACAGGTCTAACAAACTTGAAAGGGTGATGAAGGCTACATGAGCAGTTTAAACAGCTGGTGTTAGGGAGCTAAAAAATGGAATACTGTACCTCTGAGGTTTGTCTTGTCATCCATGTGGCTAATGGTTATTTCTCCATAACTGGTGTCTTTTCTTCTCACTGTTGAGTAGATAATAGCTGGATCGCTCTCTGTGAAATTAACACATTTAGATGAGATCAGAAAGTAAGAGCCTTGCCTTTTCACACAGCTCTCTCTTCACCACAACAGAATGGTGCAGCGTCAGCGTTAGCAACAGACGCACCAATCCGTCTTCTCATCCCCTGCTCCATTCTTCTCTTACTTATAAACAGGAAACCAAGACACTTGACCTCCTCCACTAGAGGCAGGAACTCTTCTCCAACCTGAGCAGGACAAGCCACCGTTTTTCAGCCTTCCTTCAGGTCTAAAACCATGGCGTTGGACTATGGAGGTCTGAACAGCTTAAAAATGTGCAGTTGTTAAGATATTTGGGGAGGAAACAGGTTCTGAGAGCCAGAAAAGTTAAATATGTGAATCAGTTGATCAAATCAATGCCTGAAGCTGGTAAAACAGTGTTATCATCCACAGTGAAACAAGTCCTGTACCAACATGGGCAGAAAGGCCACTGAGCAAGGAAGAAGCCATACTTTCTCAGGTAGTTTCAATATTCCTAATACTATTATTATTATGTATTAGTATTATTATGAAAAGCTTTCCTTAGGTAATATCTTATGTGATTTGATCCTAATAACCATTGTTGTACTTTAAGGCAACAAGGAGGAAACTTACACGCCTAAGAAAATCATCACAGCTGGGAAGTACAGGGGTGCAGGACTCATGATGTGTTTGCTGCATGAGGAACTAATTTGGACTAACAAATAAAGGGTATAATGTGGAAAAACATTATATGATACAATCTGCGGAGTTACGGAAAGGAACCAGCCAGGAAGTACAAGCTTGGGCATAAATATGCTCCTTTAGATGGACATTATGAGCTGCTCAGTGGCGCAGTGGGTAGCACTGCTGTCTTGCAGCAAGAAGGTTCTGGGTCCGATTCCCGGCCCAGGGTCTTTCTGCATGGAGTGACGTTCTCTCCGGGTACTCCAGCTTCCTCCCACAGTCCAAAAACATGACTGTTAGGTTAATTGGCTTCTCTAAATTGTCCTCAGGTATGAGTGTGTGCGTGAATGGAATTGTTTGTCCTCTTTGTTGCCCTGTGATGGACCTGTCCAGGGTGTACCCCGCCTCTGGCCCATTGATCTGCTGGAGATAGGCACCAGCAGCCCTCGCGACCCTACTCGGGACAAGCGTGTCAGATAATGGATGGATGGATAGATGGACATTGTCCTCAACCATAACAGTACATTAGTTAAAGGTTACTTTAACGACAACATATTCAGTATTTTGGCATAGGCCACATAGAACGGTATTATTGACAAAATGGGGCTGGTTACTTTACGCTCCTATTTTCTTCTTCACTTTCATCACTCTGTGACATTTATATACAGTATTAGCCAACAATTCAATACCTAAAAAAGTATCTAATAATAACTTTTAATAATTTACTTTAGATTAATATATCTTCTAATCAAATTTGATTTCAAGAGCTGTTTTTAGTTTCTATTTCAAGTATTCAGGCAGACATTTCCTGGTCCTTCAGCTGAATTGTTTTCATCAAAAACAGGAAACTATAGACGACCACAGAGCTTCTACTTCACTAAATGAAGAGACCAACCACCGGAATAAAGACCAACATACAAAAAACTCAAAGTCAACTCCACAAGTAATCGTTAAAGCAAAACCTGACAGACTGATATGGTCATTACATGGGTATGTTAATCAGTTCAAGGTTAAATACAGCAGTGATGTAGGATTAAACCATAACAATTAGATGTTGAAATGTAAATAGTCCTGGTCATGAAGTATATATATATACATCGAAACCCTAAAAGCCCTTTTCCACTTTGTGAAAACATTAAAGATACATTGTAGCTGTTAGTTAAATCTCATCTGCTGTCAGTCTTTACCTGTGTTTGACTCAGTCCTCTCTGGCTGACTTGATAGGTTGATGTCACTATAGGTGAGCACGTCCTCTTGTTCTTTGTCATCTGGAATTATCCCAAACCAGGATTGGATCAGAGCAAACAAACCTATACTTGTTGACAAATGCAACACTTATTCAGCTTAATAAACCTGTTCTGGTAAATTGTTTTTTTCTCACCTTTAGGCCTGTTACCAAAGCACCGGATCACCAGAAAAACTACCAGAACCAGTAAACACAGAGATGCAAGAGGCAGCAACAGGTAGAGAAGAAGAGAGGAAGAGGAGCCTGGAGGAGCAGTGGGAGGTGGGGAGGTGGGGGGTTCCTCTGGAATGAAAGATAAACTTGTTAGCTTCTGGAAGCTCATCTCCCTCCATCACAGGGAGGACAGGACTCTGCAGGATCACTGATCCACCTCAACACAGAGACAAACTACAGCATTTCATCCATTTCCACACAGCTTCATCAACACTAACTCCACAGTCTGATCTTACCAGTGACAGTGAGCTGGATGCTGCTGCTGGCTGCTCCCTCTCTGGACGAACACCAGTAAACTCCACTGTCATGTAGGAACAGGTAGCTGATGTTACAGGTAGAACCAGCTAGTTTCCCCCATTCTCCACACTGAGTCCTGGTTCCTCTGGTTGTGTTCCTCCATACAGTCCATCCAGCAGAGCTGTTGTTCTCCTCACAGCTCAGAGACACAGAGTCTCCTTCGAAGAACTGAGATCTGCTGGGACTCACAGTCAGAGCAGCTGCTGGAGAGAAATTAGCATTTAAAGAAGTTTCTTTAAATTATACTAATAAAAATGATCAGATCTTGTTCACCAAACGTTCATAGAGCTGTAATGTTTCTGTTATACCAGAGCTTTACTGACCTTGGATGTTTCCGGTGAACTGCAGTGAGATCAGAACTGTAGAGTAAAAGAAATTCAGTTTTGTTTGATTGAACTTAAATAAGATCGAAGATCAAAAAGCTTTAAAACCTTTTAATGCTCGGACACTCTTATTCATGAAAAGTCAGAACTCAATTGGTCACTTAACACCACTTATCTATGATGATTATTTCAATAAAGAATTGTGTCTGGAAAATTGTATATTGACATAAAAGTATGTCCCAGTCGTACCTTTTTCTAAATCTAACTCCATGGTTTTGTGAAAATCAAAGTTTATTTTAATCTTTACCTCTGTAGTTTCTGTTGATATGTCTTTATTTTATTGTGTAGGAAACAGAACTATGAACCCACTGTGTGTTAATGCGGCGTCTTCAATGACATACCAGGTTCAGATCTGTTCCACTAAACTACACAGTGTTTTTATCCATCATTTTAATTCTCCTTCTCCATCTTTACTTCAATACTTCGGGTAAAAAATAAAAATAAACCAGTTTCTCTACTTACAGACCAGACAGTGAAAAGATGTTTCCTTCATTGCAGCTCTGAGGGATTTGAGCAGTTTGATATTTTTACACTGAAACCATCTAAAGCCCGCCTCTTCCTGTCAGTGTGAGACTGTGACATGTTATGGTCTATAAACCACAAAGATATTTCACATAAACAGGCCCCAGCAACGATAGCCACAGATTAGATAAAAAAGTTAAACAATACAGCTGCTCAAATATAAGTTTATAAATGGTTTAGAGGTCTCATGCCTCAAAAGATTCTGTTCAGGTTTGATTCAATGGTGGTTTTAATCAACCTTAATGAACCTGTCCAGTCTAATGCAGAAGCCTCAATCAGCAACCATATATACTGAACCGCATTGAATAAGAAAACCCACAATCCTTTGAGGGAAAGGACGTAAAGGCAAAGCCCACCTCCCAGATTTGAACAGAAACATCTGCAGCTGTTACACTCTGTGCAGCTTTCACACATTTTTCAAATTCTCTTTATGTCGTCCAAGAGCAATCTGTTGATATTTATGACCTAAATCCAAGGATGTTTATAGAAGTTTATATTTGCAAACTCTTGTTGGTTGGAGCTTTTGCTCACTCACCATGATTGTCTGTGCAGATCTGTCCATGTAGTTATACATATTCTTAGGTGTGTTGCACCAAATTTCTGTCTGCACAGACGCCACGCAGAGGGGCCTGGAAGCCACAAATAAGGTGATTTGGCCGTGTGTATCTCATGGACACATACAGCATAATTAATGTTCACAGCTTCATGTTTAGAGTTTCATAATGAGAGGTTCAGCCTTTCCCTAAAATAGTATAACTCAGTTTCTTGTAGGCAGCTGTCCTGTTTTCTTTCCCACCCTGGATCTGTTAATCTCATGAAAGGTGAAGGCAGAGAAGCTAAGAGCTACAACTCAGTCTGACCTCCATAATCCAGTCCTGGTGTTACAGCAGATTTAACCTTAACATCATTCAAACTCATTGTTTTTCTGATGAAGGAGTTGGTTTGGATTCAGGAAACTAGTTTAAGTTAGAGGTAGAAACAGGAAGAACCCTTTAGAGATCAGTGAAGTAGCTGCATGAGGAGGAAACATGCAAACATGCTGCTGTCTCTAATCAGATGATAACTCAGTGATACTTCCGTACTGATCTGTAAATGTTGTACTGTACGCTACTGTAATAAAGGTGGAATATTTCATAAATTAAGTCAATCAAGTCATCTCAGTAAACAAAACAAGTGGCACATTTGCATAATCGCTTGGTTGAAAATCTTATTAAACTTCTCTTCATGCTTTTCTGAGTTTATCTGCAAAGGTAGGAGCTCTGAGCACACAGAGCTCTTTTAGCAGCACATCTTATTAAATCCGTACTCAGAATCCAGAGAATCTGAGGTTTCCTGCAGCTTTACTCCAGGAGGGCAGAGGAGGCCCCCTGCTTCAACACACCTGGATCCCACTAAAGATCCCCCCCCCCCAGCAGAACCTGATGAGGAGCTCAATCATCCAGAACCAGAGAAGAACTACAGTCTTAATGAACTAGAATATCCTAAATTTAACCAAGCATATAATTCAACGTGACTGAGCATAAGGTAAAGGTCACACCAGTCCTAAGCAAACCTGGCGCCCCCTGTCTGCAGCAAGTATTTCACACAAGGATCAGCCAACCCTGCTCCTCAGACCTCACTGCAGTGAGACCTTTCTCTGCTCCGGTACCAGTGAGTCAGAGAGCTGCATGACCTCTTTAGCCCATCCGGACAGATGCCTGATATTGACCCATTAAGGTATACGACATCAGAGACCTACAGATTTACAGGAAGCAGAGAAACTAGGACCTGTCTGTGCAGAGACACCTGGTGGTAAAAAAGTGACACTGAATCAGTTCATAGATTTAACATGAATAAGACCTACCACTGACAAGGAACATACAGTAAATGATAGAATCATTATTTTTCGGGAGGGATTAAAATATATTTCAATAAATTGAATACCAATGTTGATGACACAGAAGGATTCAGTCTGATGTTTATCTAGATCAGGGGTCACCAGCGTGGTGCCTGTTGGGCCCTCGAGGACCTGATGGAGTGCTCTCAGCATCTTCTGAGAACAGAGCAACTCACCTGTGAACTAAGTTTGAAATTTTATACTTCAACAATATTTAAGCATTTATAGGGATAAATGACAATATCTAAAAGCAAATGGGAAAAAAAAACTATAGAAATATGTTTAGTATCTATGAAATTTAGTTGAATGTTGACTCCTCCAGATCATAGGTCAGTATTGGTAGCCCTTCCTATAACTCAGTGACCATAAAGTAGCCCTCAGTCTTTAAATGGTTGGTGATCTAGAGTCTCAAAGTGTCATCCTCCATCATCTTGGTGTGTTACTCCATAACACAAGATTTCCTGCAGCTTCAGTCTTCCATTTATCCCTGAGCTGGAAGTTCTGGAGGAGAGCACAGGGGTGTGGTTTTTATGCATATGAAACATCACAAACAACGTTCAAAACGTTAAAAAGTTAAGAAAGTAAGTCTAAATAAAGAAAAAATCTCTCGTTAAGCACAGGATGAGGATTTCAGTTAACCCGGAGGTCTTTAACAGGGGGTCCGCAACCCCTTGGGAGTTCTCTGAGGTACAGCACGGGGGTCTGGAAAGCTTTGGTTAATTAGACTTTATTTTTATATTCCCCCTGCAACATTTTCCACCAATTGAAATGTCTTTAAATCCACATTAACACGAATCCAACAGACTGTAGTAAACAGATAAATGGAGGCAGAAGATGTCTTTCAGTCATCAATGCACACATTCAGCGATACACAGGAGCTCTTTCAAGCTGGGCACCGTTTCATTCACAACACCTGTCCCATCAACCAGGAATCAGAAATACTTTAATAATCCCAGGGAGGGATTACTTTAGTTACATTACTCCATCTGTAATAGAGTGACTGTAGGACCAGTTTTATAGAACACTATTTCATACAGTATATATAGTTAGGGGGTCCCTGCTGCATTAGTTTCGGGGTCCTTGGCCTGGAAAACGTTGAAGACCCCTGAGTTAAACTGTCCAACAGCGCCCCCGGTGGTATAATACCTGATTACAGGTCAGGTAAACAACAGGTACAGTATGCTTCAGGGAGACTGCGTCACTTTATTTTCAGTTTAAACATTTCACTTTATTCCTGCTTCCAGCGGTAAGAATCGTCTGTTTCTTGATTTCATGTTTAGATCTGAAATAGTTTTCTATTTCTTGTGTTGTTTTTCTGTTCAGTTAAATGTTCTGTTTTTCCTCCGCAGTGTGGAGCAGGAAGTCTACCTGTGATGGCTGGTCTTACCTGGCGCCTCGGAGCTCTGCTCTGCTCTGCTGGATTCACCATGATTGTTTCTGCTGGTCAGTAATAGTGAACAGTGAACACTAAGAGTGAACACTACCAGTGAACACTGACAGTGTCTGGAAACTCGGTTCTTACAGGTTAACCTTATTGATAGCTCTTTAATCGGGAGAAAACATTATAAACTGTTAAATTGTTTCCTTTTTTTCAGATGTTTCAGAAACAAAGGAGATCATTTCAGATTGGTCAATTTTTACGCCAAAAAAGAGTATTTTGCAACTAAAAGCCAATTTTAAACTGAAAGTTAAATTAGTTTTAGTATTATTGTGCAGTGTATGTGAACAGGTATTTATGTTTTAGACTTTTTTTTCTTTTTATTTCTTTCATCATAATGGCAGATCCCGCGCTGTGCGTAGAGCCGCATATTTTAACCGGGGCTTCAGTTTGCGGCTCATAGCGCAATGGAGAGAAAACGTGAGAAAACCACCTGTTATCTGACTGACCGCTCAATGATCGGGATATCTTGACATCTTATAACTCAGACGGTTGAGCGCGTGCAGACAGACAAAAATGCAAAACAACAGGAACCTCCTGTGGGTGGGTCTGTGGGTGAAATGAAACTTAGTTACATGAACACCTGAGCTGTCAGTCATTAGACAGGAATCTGTTTCCAGTCTAACTGGAGAATTATACTGATGTGGAGAAAGACCAGTTATAGGTTGTATATAAGCTATACACTATATCAATATATATCTGCTATAGTTTTATATCAGTTTATGCTGTTAAGAGGTTTTTGAGTATTTAATGGAGATAAATGTCATCAGCAGTCATCTTAAAGGAGACGATAGAGAAACCCAATTAATCAGGAGTGGCACTGGCAAGGAGCTTGTTTATGATGAAAAGGACCAATCAGATCCTCTCTTCTGTTCTTCTCCTCCTTTTTTCTGTTGCTATTTGAAACTTCAACCATGCTGCTGATTGGTCCCTTGTGTTTCTTTGTTTAGTTAGGGCTGAGTGAGCAGAAAACACCTGCATGTATGGACTCTGGATGTTTTAGCTTATGTTTGCCAGATAAAAAAGTATTTTTGTAATAAGATAAAGAAAATAAAAACAAGGCAAGACTGCTAACTTATTTCTAGGGGATTTGTATCAGTGATATAGCCTCTAAAGGTTTGACCTGAGCTTGGAGTGCCCTTCCTTCTCTGTCCTCATCATTCAGTGTTTGAACAGGTTCTTATGTTGCAGCAACTCCTGTTTTCCCACAAACATCCAGGGTTGCATTTTTTCTCTTTGTGGATCTACTGTTATGAGCTTCCACTGTTTGTTTAAAAGCGCGTCACGCTGTGCTTGACATTATTTACTGACACTCTACCAACTTACCAGGCGGAAGAGAAAGTAGTTTCCATTAAATGCATGCATCTAGCCAGTTTTCTTGTTCGTGAGCATTACTGAAAATGACTGTAGTATCAAAACTAATGGAATTTGAATTTGAAAATCTAATTAGGAGCCTCTTAATAAGGGCCTGCAGTTCTGGTATCTAAGGCATCTATATTTAAGCATTGATCCACACTTCACACTATGTATATGCATTAGTTTAAAAGTGAGAAATTCAGAGTGTGGCGTGTAAGCGTGCGCGCTCATGACACGGTCAATGCCTGAGATTTGAGTCCTGGTGATATTAACTGTTAAAGCTTATTTTAAAAAAACATACTTTTAGATTAAACTTTTTGTTGTGTGTATAAAAGTGAACCATTCATTATTTGAATCCTTAGCAGACCCATAGTAACTGCTGCTTCCTCCTGAATTAAACAAGGTCACTTGGTATCCACAAGTTGTACTTAACTGAAATAAGAGAGCAGTTGTACACCAGCATGTTATTTAGTATTATAAATATTATTCATTTATATTTTTAGTAGTGTGACATTCAGAATTAGTCATCTAAGAAATAACCATAAGTAGAAGTACAAAAGTATTTTGTGAAACTCCTTCTTAAATACTGAAAAAGTTATTTTATTTAGGAGTAATATTACTAAATAATATAGTTACTCTTGTAAAATATTAAAACACAGTATAATCATCTATTTGATGTAACTGTCCCACCCTCCTGCTGGGCTGCAGGGGGAAGCATCACCCAGAAAAGGGAACATCTGGTTAAATGTTTTCAGTTTCTTTGTTTCAGTTTTATGGAACATTTATTTGTTTTGTTTTTTAGGGGTCTAACATTATTTTTGAAAAATTAATGAATTTATGTAAGAAAGAACACAAAACAATCATTAAAATCCTGAGTTCCGCTCACATGAATCAGTCGGAAAGCAGCAGAACGGATCTATTATCAATAAGACAAGTTATAAAAATAAATATTTAAAATCAGTGTGACTCTCTCTCCTACAGATCAGATTAAGATACCAGCAGAAACTGGACAGCCTGTTACTCTGCCATGTAAACTTGCCAGCAGCAGCCAGGTTATAGTTGTACAGTGGAGCAGAACCGATCTGGGATCAGATTATGTTCTTCTGTACCGAGACGGGCGGATCGATCCCTTTAATCAGCATCAATCCTTCAAGAACCGAGTGGACCTGCAGAACAGAAACATGAAGGATGGAGACGTGTCTTTGGTTCTGAAGGATGTCAGGACTGAGGATGGAGGAACGTATGAGTGTAGAGTTGTTCAGACTGGAACAGGCCGCAAAAAGATTCTGATCAGCACCATCAGTCTGGAGGTAGCTGCTCCCCCTCCTGGTGAGTCTGATGAATCAGAACCTCCAGATGCCTTCTGGGTCCTGATGGTGGACAGAAACATCTCACCAGCTGCTCTGAGAGCAGATGATGTTCTTCATTCATCTCCTACCTGATGGATCAGAATAACTCCTGGTTCTGTTCTACAGGTCACCATGAGAAACTTATAGGAGACCGACCAGACCAGGAGGAGGATGACAAACACAGTGAGACTGCAGAAAAGGACGGAGGAACCCAGGAGACCCCAGCTCCTACACCACCAGCTGGTACGGTCTCCTCTCTACTCCTGCTTGCTGATGATGATGGTGTGGATTTCAGAGACCAGAATAAAGGAGAGAGTTCAGATTAAATCTGCTTCATCCAAGATGATTCACTGAAGGTTATTTTTTCTCTTCTATCTGCAGGAATCAAAGCTGAAGTGAAGAAAGATGGAGAAAATGATGATCTGGAGGAACAGAAAGCCCCATATGCTGAACCATTAAAGGGTTAGTCTTTGGTTTTCTTTTGTCATCTGATGTTTTTGTTTATTTTTACAACCCAAAAATCGTTCCGAAAAAAGAAAGCTGCTGGAGGAATCGGACACGGCCAAAGGCAGAAGCAGTAGCACATTTCTCCCAATAAAGGCCTGGTTTCCCCTCCTTCATAGCGTGAATGCAGATGATGCTTAGAGCGGATTTTTAACCTGCAGAGACATGCAGATCGTATCTGTTATGGAAACACTGAGCAGCACCAACATGCTTAATGTGGGTCAGAAGGTGGAACCAGTTCAGCTTAATGTTGATGATTGGATCCTCTGTCATGTTCATGTGCTTCAGTCTGAGCTTTAGTTCAGCTTCCTTCCTCCAGATTCATGGAGTAAATAACTCTTAATGGTGACTATGGTAACCACTAACGAGGTTAATCAGGATGTTTCATATCTGATAACAACTCTGATAAGTTCCTCCCATCTCTCCTTTCAAGGCCAGATTAAAGAAAAATATATATATATTTTTTCCCCAGATTATGTTAAAAGCTTCATTAACAAACTGAAGCAGTTTAGTTCCTGTAGCTCTGAGTGAGGCAGCAGTTTGTTGTTTTCACAGATTATCATTTTTCTCACTACTGCTTCTGTTTTGCAGCCGCTGGTGTTGAACAATCCCTGAACCATGAGAAGACTGGACAGAACCAGGTTGTAGAGAGCAGGGCGATTCCTGGAGTAAAAGCTTCTCTCTCTGTTATTGCTGTTCTTGTTGCTGTTGTTGTTTCTGTAATTGTTTGGAGGAAGAGGAGGCCTGATCTTCCTCCTGATAAAGAACAAACTGCTATGATCTGATCTGACTGTAACCTCAGCAGGAAATCAGCCTTCAGGTCCAACAGGATAAATCCTAAAACAGGAGCTTCTGTTCCTCCTGATGATGTAGTTCTGCTTATTGAGCAACCAGAGAAACATCGATCAGCTTTAATCAGATAATAATATAATCTGATATTAATCAGAAGCTTCTTTCTTCATCACTGCTTCAACTATTTATCCAGAGCTTAGATGGTGAACATTAAAGCAGAGGATCTGGTTCATGATCTGAAGTAATCAAACTTTAAGACTCAGAATCTGATCAGAGGAGAAAATGTGCATCAATGAATCACTAGTTAATATTAATAAAGGTTAACAATAATAATAATATATGTTCTTAGTGAGTTTTCTGACCACCAGGCTGTAGAAAAATATTAACCTCCTTATTACCATTAAAATGTTTCAGATCATCAAACATTTTATTGTTTTGGATCAAATGCATAAAACAGCAGATTTCAGACAGTTTGATTTATTAAGGCAAAGAAACTAAAAGTATTCTCTCCCCTGGTTAGATCATCAATAATCTGACATTAAATCCCAAAATTAATCCCAGATTGGAATCATAATCTGAGCTGCAGATAGATGAAATAATCCAGCCTAGAACCTTTCTGATGGCTGAAGGTTCTGAAAAGCAACAAACAGAAAATATCAAAGTTTCTGACATCTATCAGTCTGGAAAAAAACACCAGAACCAACGAACCGCTTTGGGTCCGATGGAACCGGCCGTCCTTAAAGGTCCAGTTTGTTCTCCTCAGTCAGCAGAATATTTTCCCTAAAGTCTTTTGGTCCATCAGACTGGGTCTGGTAAGTGGAAGACGGGCCTGTGTTGGGTCAACAGTAATCTGTATTCTGTTGGGTCAGCACTGGTTCTGTTCTGTTGGGTCAGCACTAGTTCTGGTGTCAGAACTCTTCCATGGAGGGAGAACTGAGGCATTGAGGCCTGCAGAGCTTTAATGTTCTGGTTCTTCTCTGACCTTCTGATTGGTGCCTAATGAGCTCTTGTGTTCGGTTGGTTAGGAGGCCAGAACCACTGCTGACCCAAAAGAAATCGGGCCCGTCTCACATTAACCAGGAACATGTTGCTGATCCTTACATCTTAACCAGAACCAACCGGCCATCATGAACAGAACATCAGAACACGGCCAGAACTTTTTCTCCTTTATCAGTGAAATCATTTTAAAGCTGCTGTTAAATAAACTGCAGATTTCTGTAAATGATTAAAATCTGATGGAGGATCAGAAACAAACCAGAGCATCTGTTCTCTGTAGGGGGGGGGGGGATACTTTCCACAGAATCACTGGTTCTGATGTTAAATACATGATATCCTGAGAAGCTCCTTAAGCTGTTTTTCTGCTCATTTGAACTTTAGGAATGTCCTGTTTTCTATTTTATCTTATAACACTAAGATCAGGAAGAGTTTCTCATATTTGTCTATGAGCTAAAGCTCCTCTGTTGGTTCCTGGATTCAGTCTGAATGTTTCTATTGTGTTTTTGTTCCTTTATTCAAATGTAAAAATGATGAATTTAAGGAAACACTCCTTCAGTTTGACTCTATAAGGGGTTTAATGTCGTTGCTGCTTTTCCCTGTTTTATCCTAATAAACTAAGAAGTTTGAATCATGAATCCTTTCATTTACCTTCTGTGATCCTGGAGCTGTTGATCCTGATCTCCTCCATCAGAGGACTGAAGGTTTCAGCTCATCTGGGTCTCCAGGCTCCAGGAAGGGGTGGAGCTGCTGATGGGTCTGTGCTGGATTCCAGTGGAAACTAGCAGCTGGGATCCACTGGGAGCAGAACCAGAACCTGCAACTAAAGACAACTGGATGCCCTTAATGTATTCAATGTTTTAGTAAAAAAAAAAAGTGAAACAGAAATCATGATAGTTGATAATAAAGCAGACAGGACACTCAGACTGTTTACTGACTGGTTTTACATCACAGTCTCCATTTTGTCTGGAAATGAAAGTGAAACCATCTGTTCCCAGAAATCTGATCTCTGTAAATAATTTATCA